TTCTGCCAAAAAAAAAAAAAAAAAAAAAAAAAAAAAGGGATTAAAGTAAAGGCACATTGCCACTAATCCTTTTGAGAATTCTCCCTGTCAACTCAAACACACTTAACCCCTTGTTCTTGCACTTTCTGATGCAGTTCTGGAAGTCTTCTTTCTAGAGTGACTTTTTTATAGCTGCCTTTATGTCCTGAATCCATTTAAAATATTTATGTTTCTTTTCCATCAAATGAAATCATTACAGTGTACCCTCATCTACCATATTCGCCAGGTCTGGTACTATGACTTCTGGTTCTTTTTCAAAGTCAAAATGACCATGAAAGGTTGACATTTGCAAGTGATTCAAGATTTTGGAACTGCTACTGTAGCACAGTCAAATGCACTGGTAGAGAGTATTTTCAGAACTGCTTTGGAAAGTAGCAAGAATAAGAGGATAAGTGTGTTCCAAGCAAGAAGAGAGATTAATGGGATTGGTTTTTAGTATGATTTTTAGAATATGAATTCACTACTAGAGGGTTTTTTTTTTTTTTTTTAAATCTTACTTCATGTGTTGCCTATTGTCCTAGTATTCAGAAGTAGTACTGGGATGAACACCCAGGGACTGAAATCTGATCTCAGATGCACGCCTTTGGGACAGGCAACTTCATGGTTGTCAGCTTCTGTCTTGGGAATGAAGGCAAAGGCTGAACAGGTCACCTGCATGGAGCACACACACTGGCTCTGTAGCCCTCTGCAGTCGTAGCAAAGACCCGATGCTCTGAGCCAGACATTCTGGCCACCCTGGGGCTCAACTGGGAGTTGCCATGTGGCCTTGGACTAGGTGTCCCCCTCTGTGTTCTGTGTCAGTTGTAGGAGTGTTACCGAAGACCTTTCTCCCCAAGGTGGGGTAGGCTCGGGTCAGCTTTGCAGGCAGAGCACCCAGCAAGTGCTGCTGCGTGAGGGGTGCGAAGTAAGTGTTGGCCTCAGGAGAAAGGAAGTAGCCTCAGCTGAGCCGTGGTGCACACTGCCTGCCCCACCCTGCCCTGGCCTGCCCTGCCCTGGCCTGGGCGCTGGGCACAGGACAGGAAGGGGGATGGGAGGGGGAGGAGGAGGCAGAAGAGAAGGAAGAAAAGGGCCAGAGGCTTCCCTCACCTTGCAGTTTCCTGTGAATCCTCTGTAGGCTTTGTGGCAACCTTCATATATTTTGGTGACTTGAAATAGAGAAAGACTGATTTTTTTTTATACTTCTTCAAATTAGTTTTAAGAATTTAAAACTTACATATTTAGTCACAAGAATAACTATTTTAGAAAAGTAGTAGAAAAAGACTTTGAGGGAGGGCAGATGCTTCAAGTCACAGCATTGAAGTTTGGAAGTGAGATTAGCAACAACTCGTTTTAATCCATTTAATTAACAATTATATTTGAAGCTACAGAATATAGGTGTACCAAATAATTCTCATTACATGCCGTATGAGGATGAAACATGCGTTCAGAGTCCACATCTGCTCCCCCTGTGTGGGGGAGGATAGTGGTGTCTCTGTTATCCTTTCAGCGGTTTTCTTTTTTTCTTTGATTCTTACACATTGTTCCCTGAGATACAGCACTTACACCACCTTGTGAGTTTTTGATTTAGTACTGAAGTATGTGTAATTTTGGGTGTTTTTTTGTTTTGTTTTGTTTTGTTTTGCCTAAAGCCTTCTGACTGCGTCTTTCGGATGAGTCCAGCCCCCTGTGCGTGCCCTATCTCCCTTTCTTGTTCACTGACTGCCTTACGTGGGAGGTGGCATACTTGGAATTCATGGTCAGTAACTTGACTGAGGCCTGTGTTGTTCAGTCCAGGGCAGCCTTCCGGGAGACAGAATCCTCCCTAAATTCCTGCTCTTATCTCTGGGTGTCTGTCCTGGTGCCTCCTGTGCCGCACCTGTCCTGGCTGCTCTCTGAAGGAAGGCATGTGGTCCTTAATGATTAACCTCCACAGCCAGGAATCTGGGTTGGCGTTACCCACGCAGCGTATGCCAAGCAGTCAAATAAATATTCATGCTAATAATCTCAGTGACTGAGGGTACTTTTTGTGTATGCTTCGTGACTTCAAGGTCCTCGGAAGGCTTCTACTGCTCCAGACCTTTCTTTTTTCCTTTCCTTTTGGATTTTAAAATTCATTCATTAAGAAGATTACTTTGGCTGCTTTCTCTTTGTTCATAGTTTTTGTCCTATAAAGTCTTAGAAACATAGTTTTGTTTGTTTTATTCATGAGGTTGTTGGAAGGAGATGCATATTTTGGGTTGGGACCTGGAATTAAAACTGGCTCCTGTAGTTGTAAAACAAAACACCTTACTCAGTGTGTTGTCCGTATCACGCCTTCATTCCATGCCAGTTAACAGTAGTGAGTTGAATGGGTGTCAGTGCCACTGAAACGTAATATCTTTTTTTTTTTCTTTATCTCACTGCTTTATTCATAATGTGATTTTTTAGGTATAAAATACACATATATACACGTCTATAAAAATAAAACCATAAGTATATATATAGTGCAATGCTTAGCACATCAAGAGGTTGTCTTCTTCCTTTTTTTTT